AGTATTAATACCTCATACCTGTGATTTAGGTATCTCCTGTCTCTCCGCAGGGAACATTTTCAATTCCCTCCTCGGCAAACGAACTACTGCATTACAAGGAACACTTTCTGGAACTGAACAAATAACACATGCTATGATGGAAGGGAACGACACGTTACTACAGAGCTGCCTGCACGTGGCGTGAGCAACAAATGGACACATTTCTGTACAAACAAAGGCTAATGGTAATATTCTGTTTGTCGTTTCAAACTGACAAAAAGCTTCTACGGGCTTAGCCACAAATGGAAGTATTTTCAAGTACATGTTACGAGTGTTGTGCAAGTAATTCTTGCGTTTAAACAAGACCATGTGCATGCATGTACACTTGAATCTGCACACACCATTCAAATCACAGACTAAAAACTTTCAGTTTTAAAACAATTTTTACACTCCAGTTAGGCAAGCTGCAACACAGGCTCACAACAAAAACCAAGAACCAACCTTGGAAATATTGAGGGGGAAGAGGGGAAGTGGTACGGAAACGATGGATAAGAATTGTGAATGATAGGACAGAATGGAAAAAAACTCGTCGAACAAGCTAAGACCCACATAGGGTTATAACGCTACAAGAATAAGAAGAATGGAGGTGGCACAACATAATATCTAATTAGGTACAACATGCATGAGGCTCGGGATGTCACATGTGCCACATTCCAGCTGCTTTCATCTGCCAATCTCTCGATACATTTAATGTTAAGAATCTCTAAACATATGAGCCCAATCCACAAAAATATAAATATATCTCTAGAACGGCACAGTTAAATGCACTCATATCTTGATGGAAGACTACCGGGTTACAGGATGCGTCAGGTGGCCGAACGGCGAATAAACCTTAATCTCTCCAAAAGACAACGGGTGCGTAAAGAGAAGCTTTCGTATCAAGTGAAGTTGATGAAAGAATCTCAGGTTACGAGCCACTCGCTCTCACTTAAAAGTGAGCAAAAAAGGTCAGAAGTGAGAGAACCAGAAAATTGTTCATAATTCAGTGCAGCACTTGTAATGGGGAAGGGGGGGGGTAAACAATCACACATTTTGACTGATGAAAGACTGGAAGAGGCAACACATATTCAACCCTCTGACAGCGACTTTAGTAAACCCCGCTGACTGCCATACGTCACGCATGTCAGTAAGAGACGCTGCTGACATATGCAGTGTTTAAATTAACCCATCCATGCTTGCATGTCACTGACCATTTGTCAGTATCTGTGTGGATCCAAATGGACTGCTACCAGGACTGGATTTCAATGAACTGCGAGAACTTCTTGCGCGACCATCGGCTGAAGACGAATGGTCAGAATGGTCTGATTGATAACCGTGATTATAGTCCTTTGGTATCGGAGATGGCAAATCGTCTTGTATGCCAGGAACCAAACCTGAATGATACACAAACATAATAAAAAAGAGTGAGCACGGAACAATTCAATTTGCAGTAAAGAAACGTCGTAAACAAATCCGTTTTCATAAACACGTATTTTCGATGTCACCCTGAAATGTAAGCAAGGGATAAACTGAAGATAAATTTCAAAAAACTTCTCATACTTCAGGTTTGAGTAATGTCGCCCAGTTTCAAATCCATTATAACTGCATCGGCCTGCACCGAAACAACTCACAATTTAAAACTGATTTCTGTTTTGGCTCATCACCAATTTCATACATGGTCTACGGCACAGCTGAGTGTATTTTTAAACAACAGCTGACTCACCTTCTCTCTTGAGGTTGTGTTTTGGCGTTGACACCACCTGCTTTAAACCTGAAATAAACAGTTTACGTAAGAATGAGTAATAACCTACGACCACAAAATTACCTAAGACCACGTTCACACAAATTTCATTTGCGTGACCATGGATTTTGTATTAATGTCTTGCACGCGACAAAAAATACTTACACAAACAAAGTAAAGGTGTTAAATAATGTTTTTGGCCCAGTTCCATATATATATATATATATGTAGAAACTGACTGATAAAAATTATACAAAAAGGTACATCACTAATTTGTAAATCATGAACTTACAATTCCTTTCAGCATCTGTTCCGATTAAATAATTTAAAGGCAGTAGATAGAACGGTGAAGCTGAACCTCCTTGGTTCATGCTCTACATTCTCAATGCGATAAATAACATCTGAAACTTCCGAACATACTAAATATTCAAAGTGGCAAACAGTTCAAAAGCGGTATGAAACTTTAATCCGTCTCTAATTTTTCTCCAGGCTAGGCGTTCAGAACTGCTGTGGAAAATCTAATTCGGTACGGCAGAGTCCTTCTTGAAAAGTTGAGAGTACCGTTGCATAAATGCACTGACACGGACTGATTTCCGTACCAGATAACTTACCTGTACCTCTGATCTATGAATTTCACAAACAGCATAGACATTTAAAGTATCGAGCATACAATACTTCGTTTGAATGACCACCCACACCTCCATTACAATGAAAATAATGAAGACGGGTGAAATTAAAAGAAAACTGACAAAAAGATATGTGGGCAGAAACGTATCAAGATTATTAATTATTGTTTGCCTGTTAAAAAAATAAACAGATATTCCACATCATGAAATATCAGAATCCTTACTTTCTTCCTGGAGACGCGCAATATTCTGGACGTCACCGACATTCATGAGCCGGTTACTGGAGGAAAAGCTGCTGTCTGAAGCACTGCTCATCTGATCATCATCACCCCCACTGTCACAAGACATTGCGCGTCCACTGCGATTACTGCTACTGCTACTGCCATCTTGAATCGAAAACGTGCAGTTCAGTCCCAATGGCGTTATGCTTCTCGATCTAGGTGCCAACTGAAATGTCGTGTTCATATCGGCAGACTTTTGACGATTCATCGGGCACGGATCTGATACTTTTAGGAAGGTTGCATTTAAATCTGGCTCTGATAATTTTTGGTAAGTTGTATGCATCTCATCAGGATCAGATGCAGTCTTTTGAGATGCGTTGTTTTGCGGCTCAGGTGTTAACTACAAAAAGAAATTACATAAATCAGAGTTCAAACATCAGTTTACACTTGCACAGTTATAATCCAGGATTAATAACATGGATGGCTTGATGCTGATGTGGCATATCTACAGCGTTAAAATACATTTTCATATTCATGTCCCTCATAGTAGCCTACAGAATTCATGGGTTCATTACCACGTTCATAAGAGTCCAGAACTTCTCCCTATCATGACCTATCTGAAACTTGTCCATACCCTCACATTCCATTTCTCAAAATTCATGTTTGTCTATCCTCTCATCTAGGTCTGTCTTCAAACTGGTCTTTTCTCTTCAGGTTTTCTGACTAAATGTTCTATTCCTCACCTGTCATACATGCTACCCACCCATCTTCCTTGATTTTATCATGCTATTATTTGATTCTTCTTCTTCTTCCATGGCGCAACAGCTCAAAGTCGAGCCTTGGCCTCCTCCCATGTGGGAGGTTTCTTTGTCTATGAAGCATGCATTTATGAGTAGTGAGTGACAAACCCACTGCCTCTGCAAAATTTCTACTCAATCCTGATTTTTGCCTGCTAGAGCCATCTAGTAACGAATCAGGAGAGACTTGGGTGAGAAATGGCCGCTAAATTTTGTTTATAAAACATCTCGTTCATGCTCGTTAAATTCTTTTACGTGCTGTAAATCTGCGACAAGGGACGTTCTTTTACATGCTGTAAATCTGCGACAAGGGACGGTCGGCTTTACTTCTCCTCCGAAGGAAGTTGTGCTACGGATTTTTATCACCCTTAAAAATCCATCGACCTCGGCCGGGTTTGAACCCACAAACCTTGGGTCCGGTGGTGAGAACACTAACCACTAACTATTATTTGATAAAAATTACAAATCATGAAGCTGGTCATTATATATTTTCTCTATTATCCTGTTACTTCCTGTCTCTTAAGGCTAAGCATTCACCTCAGTGTCATGTTCTGAAACACCTTCAGCCTATGTAAGGTTTTATTATCTTTCTGCACACAAACAAAATGGGCAAATTAATATTTTTGCTATCTTACATTCAAATGAGGTTCTGATGAAATTTTCTGGAACACCGTGTTGAACTCCAGTGCATCATTTGAATGGAAATTGACATTACGAAGCAACGATTCAGATGCCAAAGATCCAAATGTACTGTTGAGTGTGAGACTGACATCATCGATGTCATCTATATTTTGAATCTGTGGAGTCCTCCATGGTGACAACATTCTCCTCCTATTTTCATACATTGGCGATTCCACCATTGTTTCTAAACTGGGACGGCCCATCCGCTTTTTTGACCTTGTAAACGTTCGTGTGTCTATGCTGTGTCGTCTTAGTCCTGAAAAGTTAGGCACTCATTAGAAAGTCAAAATACAAAAAAAACATTTTAAAAAATGAATAAAAATAATTAATGTTATACCTTGTTCTATTTCTTCTAATTCTTGGATAAGCTTCCTTCTCATTAGCTGGAACTCATAGTCGTTGTTATTATCTACATCATGTCGCAGCCACTTTTGTAAATTATTGGGAACATTGCTGGATAAACTATTTGATGAAACATAAAGCCTACAACCATAAGTAACAGCTTTAGTAAGTGTTAACATAATGGATATAATTATTACAAATCAGTCCTGTGCTCATGATCTAAAATTCTCAATAAATGATTAAAAATAATAAATATTTGCCAATCTGAATTGGGGAACATGAATGTATCAAATAAGAGAGATGAACAACTGCTAATTATCTGCTTGTTCGTGACAAGTAGAAGATTTATGATGACAAGCAGAATAACTGTCTATGAGGTACATTAATTTCAGCAAAGACAAAAACGTTCTGTAGAGTTGTTACAAAATTTCTTGCCACTCAAATACTGCTACATTGTCCAACTATTTATTAACAAAAAACGTGGGTTCTAATACAATCCAGATTCAACAGCACTTTACACAATTTACATTAAAGAATTATACCATAACCTATTTTATTCAACTTTCCTTCTTTCCCTTTACATTTAAAACACACAGTACATCACATCACATTCTTTCTTTGACAACACTGAGTAAATGTTATTTTTATGAGGTAGGTAGTGTACAAAGTATCCTGGTCGCTGGAACCTAAAAATTCGTTTTAACTACGACTTACCACCTTTCCTCATCCAAGAAGTCTTCACTGTTTATGATTATGATATCATGTTCATCCTCTGCTTGATACTGGAGATCCGTATGCACGATATAGTTCTCATTTGAAACACATGATAATACTTTATTTCCCAATAATCCATTCCTAGTATGCTGTGATCGTAGCTGTTCATTCTGAAATTCCAGTTTCCTAACTTTATCCTGTAGTTTCCGTACTTCATCGCGAGGATCTAAGATGTCAGCCTTATTTTCCATTATAATGAATGCCTGTACACTGCTTATACACTGGCAAACATAAAATGTTATGAAAACCCATACACAATCATTCACACACGTCTTCTTTTTCGCATTTCCCAACCATTTTGATAACTCGACAGTATCAAATACCAAAGAGTGTTTACGAACACAGTGTGACAATTCGACTTTCCCATCGAGAGTCCAATCACGTGTTTCATACCAACATACAAGAAACAAACGTTATTCATCATTATCATCTTGGACTAGATCATGGGTTCACAACTTTTCCCACGACCAGGACTACATTCAATCTTGCAATTTCGAAGGCCCCAAGGTTATAAATGGTAAAGATGTCTTGAAATTTAATGACAGTTTATTAACAATGCTACTAACTTCCTGTTATAAACAGGTCCATATATTACTCAGTGGCACAATATTGGAATACAAAAGATTTACGTGGGTCACACGAAACACGTCGGCGGGCCGCTAGTTGACAAATAAACAGTTCTGGATGGTTGATATTACTTGTCACATGATAAAATTTTGCTCTCTGTAGAACATACAAATTTAAATTGCGTTTGAAGAAATAGGAAGTGATTTTTTTTTATTCCTGGCATATTATTTCTACTAGAAGTTGAATAATGTATTAATTAATTTGCAACTCTCAACTTCTAGAAAACAGAGAGGAAGACGATTAAGTTTATGAATCTTTATTGGTTCTTTTAAAAAGGTGAAAAGATACAATGACCAGTTACATTTAAGTGAGAATTTTTTTTACATAAGTATAACTGTCATAGTCTATTTACAAATACTATTCCAAAAGCATTAAAAACACCTGTGTTGCTTATTTTATAAGAACACTGTGGTACTTACAATGCTTTGATTTTCACAATTTTTCTGATAACATTTTCTGTAACGATTCTTGGTGTTACATCTTCTCTGGTACATGAATGGGCCATGAAACGCTATGCACATATGCCTGTACAGCAGTGGACACTAATCCTTCATTACATAATCCATGTACATAAATAATGCATACATTCAATGTACTTGATGTCTCACTGCCAAGTATTCTACACCACAGCAACTCGGCATAACTATTTCATTTCCGTTCCTGTTCCACGAGATGATCAAGAACTATACTCGTGGATATAATAATTTTACTTGTTGAATCCTAGTAGCGATAATACACAACTGTTAATAATTAAATCTGTTCTAAGATACTTGTGGGACGGATTAATTACATTTGCAGGCCATTCAATCAATGGGCCACCATATCAACAATACACCTTATAGGAAACATTTTTGGAACCGAGTATTAGACAGTTCCTTTGAAACGAGGTAGTAATGAAATATAAAGTGTCCATGTGGAATGAAGACTCTCAAAAGAAGAACGGCAGTTCTTCTATGTTTTTTGATATGATCAGCCATATGAAATATAAAAGTTTGTTACAAATAATTATTTTTAAAATCCATAATTAGTCTTCACTAGCTTCAATGATAGAACAGGCTAGAATTGCCTTAAATTATACGAGGTGAATACCTCCGCAAATTAACCTCAGTAATAAAAGGAGGAAAATGGCAAACATTACACCAGTGTCTTTACCTCTGTAGAAAACACTTGGTACCTACTAGATGAGAAGCTAGTGGTATCAGGGCAAATCTGCAGAGACAATAATCCCTGCCCCTGCCAGGAATGGAACCCTGGTCATCCAGATCACAGGCTATTCACTATTCTGAATTTTATCTCACCTAATATATATATATATATATGAATTTTTTGCAACATTACAAATTTAAGAAGAAATGTTCAACTCATCCACTTCTCCTTCCCCATTTTAATTAAATTTTATTTTAATTCTGACAGATGATACTTTATACAGTAGGCTATGCAGGAAATTTCATTTGTATGAAATTCATAAACCCAGGGGCAAAAACTGCGTTCACTGGGAAAATATGCAAATGAAAATATACAGAGTTCGCAGAATTCTGACTCAAACCCCTTCAGCATCATAAATGTGAACAATTTCCCATACTACACACATGGCACGAACAGAAGGACTTCATACTGACAATAAGTTATTGGTACCCTCTGTTTTGTTAATTAAATCAATCTGATAAACATTTTGTTAGCTCAATGTTCACCGAGTGCAATCCCGAACACGGAAACGACAAATAAATGCTTCGATATGTTTTCACGAGCTGTGAAGACTAATAGCGGAGTCAATCCGAAGGCTTTTACTGCATGGACAGTCAACATAAAGGCCTGAAGTAAAAGGGAGACTACACTGTATACACATATTGACAAAATGCATATTTGAAAGAACAGTCAATATTTATAATTCAAAGAACATCTTAAGAGATTAAAAGTTTATATAAACTTTTAAATTTAAAAAACATCTTACTGTATCTTGAATTATTTAGGCACAAAAAAGTTTAAAAGTGTTTAAACACGTTTCATATCACACCATAATAATAATAATGGCTTACATCAATAACGTAATGCTAGTCTTACACCATTACTATCAACTGCAAGGTGCGAGACAAATTTTCACAACTGACTTACCAAAATTCATTACACCAAAGTATGCTGCAGAAATGCGAGCGTTCGAAACAAACATTAATAAGTAAATTATACAAACTTTTAAATGGCATTACTCGCCTCTGAAAAACAGAACATGACTCGTGAGATAAATGTGGTATGGCACGCACTACATATACAGATAGAATTACACTTCACACAGGAAACAACAAATGCCACATGATTTTTACAGATGAACCAATTTGCTAAAATTCATTTCTGGGGAGGAGAAAAAAAAAACCTTAAGCATTCCAAAGGTTTAAAACACCTGAGTGTAAAGCCACGAATATACAGCGTGTTGCAAATTACACAAAGCACATTTATAGCATATTGTCTTTAAAAAATTCTTTGATCACAGCTCAAAAAACTTCTTGAGACATATGAAGAAAAATACTGATTGTACACGGTGAGCAAATTTATGCATACTCAATATATAATACAAATATGGCACAAAACTGCGTTGTTTTGCACCAAACATGACACACAATCGTGTTCCAGGACAATATTCACCGTTCAATACTCACCTTTGTTGAAAAATCACGCTGGCAGGTGAAAGAATTGAATGATTGGTAAATAGCAGCACAGATTTTCAAAAACCTGAATTATTCATTTCCCATAATTAATTCCATATCAAAAACACGAAATCGTACCTTTTCCCCCAAACCCATCATGAAACCTGAAGGTTTATTTCCAATCTACAAGAGCCCACCACTAGACCCTATCCCGAGTCAGATGAATTCGGTCCATACCGACACATCCCGATTCGTAAATATCCATTTTAATATTTTCCTCCCATCTACGCCTAGATCTCCCAAGGTTTTCTGACCAATATTTTGTACGCATTTCTCATTTCATAAAATATATAAAAAAATTCATTCATTCCGATAACAGCAAAAATTAAAAGGCTGATACTCTGTAAATAGCATTTAAAAAATATAACTTGTTTCACAATCACTTAAGACTAGAAATATTTGTTCCTTTTACGAGATTTATATGCTCATGCACCCATACATATATCTGTATATATGTATGAAATATAAATACTAAATTCAATGTCAACTAACATTAAAAAGATGTGAAATTGTCAATGACACTATTACTAACAATATGATGATTGTGCACGCAACTGGCACCGTGTAAGACAACATTTTATTTCCTATCGCCATTATCGCTGGCTTATAACGTACAAAGAACGTGATGAAATCTGAGAAAGATAGATTAAGGAACATTTGTGAGTCGTCCCACTTACCTTAACTAGCTTTACCCCTTTAACTTTTGTGTACGCAGCGTGTAAATCACAATACGTATCAATATTTAAATTCCTGTTTAGTCACGTCTGTCCAGGAACAAAAGACTGCAAACAACGAGTTCATTCACAAGCAAGTTTGCTGTCAAAACTGCTAAGTGCTATAGCAAATGCTTGTACGGCGCACAACGGGTAACGGTAATCCATCGTGAAAACATCTTCGGCTACACGGCCAAACTGCATCACAATGTAGTCAACTGCGAAAGAAATTAAATGCTAGTCAAAAGCGTAAACTGACTTATGGCATTTAAGATTCTTCAAAGAGATAATACACCGTGTTTCAAAAGTAGCTTTACAACTTCCCAGGAGAATATAAATTTATTTAAAGGATGTGCGCAATATTTTTAAATGCACAAATTTAGGCAAACACATCAAGTTTCATGCACATAAACTGTAGTACAGAAATGTTGCGGCGGGTTGAAGACGACGAAGGATTTCTGGACTCGGTAATTTTCAGTGACGAAAGCACCTTCCATGTCACTGGTAAGGTCAACACCCACAACTGCAGGATTTGGGGTACTGAAAATCCACGTGCCTTCCTGGAACATGTTTGTGAGTCCAAAAGTAAATGTGTTTTGCACCCTAAGCAAAGATAAAGTGTATGGCCCCTTCTTTTTCACGGAGACCATTACCAGCATCGTGTATCTGGACATGCTTCAACAGTTCTTCATTCCTCAACTTGACGAAGATGACCAGGAAGGACGCATTCACTTCTAGCAAGACGGCGCACCCCCTCATTACCTCGGAGAAGTGCGCGAGTACCTCAACGACCGTTTCCCAGGTCGGTGGATCGGTCGGGCCGCACCAACAGCACGGCCACCTCGTTCCCCGGATATAACGCCTTTAGATTTTTTCTTATGGGGATTTGTTAAAGGTCGAGTGTATGTGCCACCCTTACCTGCAAATGTGGCCAAACTCTGAACTCGAATTACCGCCGCAGTTACTGAAGTGACACCGGAAATGCTACACAACTTGTGGCAAGATATTGACTACAGTTGGGATATCAGCTGCTAAACAAATGGAAGTCACATTGAACCATAAAAATCCGATGGACATAAAACTTGAAGTGTTTGACTACATTTCTGTGTTCTGAAATTATATGTTTCTCCTATCAGTTCACCAATATCTCGCCCTCAAGTTGTAAAGTTGTACTTTTGAAACACACTGTACAATCCAATCAAAGAGTATGATAAGATGGGCGCAAACTGTCTATGCTTTTGGATGAACTATAAAAGAAACAAAGACATATTAAAGAAATAAAAACAAATAATAGAAAGAATGTTGAAATATAAAAGCAATTGGATTCAACATGTCAACAGAAGGGGGGGAGGGAATCACAGTTTTAAAACGTTACAATCTACGTCAAATATGTAACAAAGAACAAACTTAAAAAAGACCTTTGGACCATAGATGCTGGCTAAGAAAGTGTTTAATATGAAAATGGTAATGCTTACCATCGTTATCATGAACAATCTGAAAATTTTTGACAGACGCTTGCGTGACTCGACCGTGGAAGTTAAGTACGTACGACTGGGTGTCATCATTCCACACTGGAGTCTTGTTGTGAAGTTCTATCAAGTTATCTGTGTTCTTACTCCGCCAGCACTCTGAAACAAATGCACAAGTAACACAAAGCCAACCAACTAGATGGCTTACCGAACCCGAAGGTTCATCACCGAATTAACCAAAGCCCTCCACCGGACCCTGTCCTGGGCCAACAAAATCCAGTCTCCTTCA